GATTCTGTCACATTGTCTGGGGTCACGTTCTTGCAGCTAGTGAGACCGTGTATCGTACAATTCGTGTTGTTAATGTAGTAGGCATCTTTAATGTCGGTCTTCTGGGTATTGTTGCAGCTGATTTTATGTTCAGTGCAGGGAAGGCCAGCAGCTCCATAACATGCTTTACTGGTATGTGTTGTGCCTACGTGAAAGACACATCAAGAACATATACGAACATTTACCGTGAACAGCTGGTATAGCGCACAGTGCTTGCGAGAAAAAAAATACCACAATATGATCTGCTGATAACTGAAGTTTTTCCTCTCCTTGTAATCATTTCTTCAAAACAAAATGTGCTGGAAGCAGCTGCTCTGAGTTTCTATCTGGAGGCCACGACATTAAGACTGTAATAATCTCCCATTTTAGAAAGAAACCCGCATACATCCACACATATAACGACCTGCATCCCGTGCATTTACACATATTTTTCAAACTACCTCCAATAACATAACAGGCATGCATAAAGAATAAGGTGATCGGTCAATTATTGTTTTCCCATTTCTACTTTGGTGAAATATGTTTCCTTCTCAATTCTTAAACTTGTGTTTGAAACAATATTGGCCTATTGTACATGCGTCACATGTATTTTCAAAGTTCTTTATTCACCGATGAAGTTTGTTCAGATAGGTGCGATTGACAGACCATTAACCACAGGACGAATCTAGGATTCGCACCGAGAACCATGTGATGCCTGATGGACTCAACTGTATAAAACATACGTTATATAAGGTTTTCATGAAGCCACTTTGAACTAAAATAGTTCAGTTATATAATAGCGCGTCAGCTTGATGTGGGAAGACAGCCGGAAGAGATGCAGGTCTTAGAGGCGTTCACCACTTTCGTGAAACCCACGAGCACGTGTATGGTGCAGACAAACCATGAAACGGCGATTGAATAGTAGAACCAATAGTCGTGCATTTTCGATGAAAGGACAATTATAATGCTTGACATTAAATCCATCTCTATAAAGCGAGGAGATAGACCCACTGGAATACTTGTCCACATGCAGCACGCAAAGCAAAGTAAGATGTATCGCTAGCTATTCTGATCGAATATTGCATGTCCGTCATCAATCACGGGGAACTATTTGTTGATAACACAACTAGACATGTTCGTGTGGTGCCAGATGACACTATATGGACAATGTGTGTAAGATTCCTATTCTTAAGACTACACTTTACTGTCATATACAGTAATGCATACAGTCAATGTATTGTGACGTCATGACAAAGAATGATGCGTGGGCAGGAGATAACACTATGTATATGGATCAATAATAACTATTATTATTTATACATTCATTATATACACCATCATATCATTATATGATCGGTGTGGAAATGGAGAGTTTTTGATTTAATTTTTTAAAACTTCACCTGCATGAGCCACCTGAAGCATGCAGAACACACAGGCGATATGACTCCAGTAGTTCATGGTCGCAGTGAGAGCAAATCAGTCACCCCTGTTTAGGCCGTCTACAAGGAAGTAAAATATAGTGTCTGTAAAATGTCACACAGTCTTTGTTCAGCCGGCAGATAAGCGAAATACAACGGTTTTGACCAACAATGATTTTAACTGACAATGACATCACCAGTTTTCCATTGATTGATTTTCGTCAATTATAATGCGCATATTCCTGGCACTACGCCTAGAGTAGAGTACATATCATTAGGGGACGCGGTATTATCTTACGTTGATGATAGTTGCACACGCGTAAGATACAGGTTGCCAGACCGCCGTGATGTTGCTGGTGTGAAACAATATTCACTCTCTCCTCGGCCATTCTGACTACACTCTTAGCTGTGTGATTTGTGCCCAAACACACTTGCCGTAGTTCACCTGACGTAAAACGTCCCGTCGCATTAGTCCCGTGGGTGTCCCTGATCAGGACAGCTAAAAAGCGGCCAGTATTTCAGGAGTAGGATTGGATGGTCACAATATATATGTTACCTAGTCAATAGCCTGGTCATTGCATATCCTCAAGATACAGGTTACCAGGCCGCCGTGGTTTTGCGGTCGGAAAACAACATTCACTCGCTCTTTGTTAGTTGTTAGAGGCGAAGGAAAGTCCTACTGGAAGTACCTTGCGTTTGTCGAATGTTTGGGCCCACCTCATTCTGGGTGTGCAAAGCAATAACTCAAATTCAATTCCACTCAGGGGACGAGCGCGTCTCTATAGTAAGGCTCTTTTAGGAAGTAGCCCAGAAGTCGGAAGCAACGCATGGATACCCCGAGGGAAAATTTAAGCTTTATCACAAATGTTCAGCTTTATACAGAAATACAGCAAGTAAATAACGTTTACGACCTCTAGAAACCCACCAGCACGTATACATTATGCCATGGGAGCACCTATTATAATAAGGGAGAATAGGGGATTCAAAACCATGATGAGGGGATTTCCCGATCACCCGGTGCCTCAACACATGCAGGTGAGGTGAGGTGAAATGGGACTTAACGTCGCGTCCAAGATTATTGCACTTACATAGCGACGTGGATGCACGTGTGTCTGGCTGCTAGTCCGGACCGATGCCGATTAATAGAGCTAGCCCACTGAGATACCATGCCACAGTTTAACATGAATACCCCACTCAGACACAGTATACTGACTCCGAGCCGACCAGTCCTTGTTTTAGCCCCTTAATGCCGATCGACAGACAGGGTAACAACAAGTACCATCTTTTAACGTCTGTTGGTAGGACGCGGCCGGGGAATGAACCCTTGACCTTCCGCTCTCCGGGCGGACACTCTACCACTAGACGACGGGGCTGGCCCCTCACACATGCAGAGAGAATAGTGGCGCATTCGATTACTGTGCCCATGCCCTATAATATAGCTATAAATCGGCTTTATCACCCATTTGATACCGCAGCTTTGTTACAGGAGTGCGGACAATATATATCTAAGACCCCTTTGTCGTCTACTACCACAGCAATACATGATTTTCAGATAAACACAATCATCCTTACCTGTATTAACTGACTGAGGGTGAAGCATAAAACTGGGATATATTTCCAACAGCTCATACACGTAGACATTGTGTTGACATTTAATCCGCCATGAGGTCGCCTACGAGGAAGTAAGGAGACATGAAAACTCCTATGTCACCTTACTAAGCAGGTACAATGTACAACATCTATACACCTGCATGCACATCTCACATAATATCGACGTTATAGAAACCGCCTCCGTGCTCTAGTCGTAGAGCGTCCGCCCGGAGAGCGGAAGGTCCGGGGTTCGATCCCGGCAGCGTCATACCAAAAGACGTTCAAAGATTGTACTGGTTGTTTGCCCTGTCTGGCGCTCGGCATTAAGGGGCTAAAACAAGGACTGGTCGGTTCGGAGTCAGTATACTGTGTCTGAGTGGGGTATTCATGTTAAACTGCGGCATGGTATCTCAGTGAGCTAGCACTATTAATCGGCATCAGTCCGGACTAGTACAAGCAGCCACACAAACACACACACGTACATGCACGTCGCTATATAAGTGCAATAATCGTGGACGCGACGTTAAACCCCATTTCACCTCACCTCACCTCGACGTTATAGATAATAAAGCCCGGAAGCTGTAAGAGTGATGATGAACGTATCTTACAGGCCAGTAAGGGTGTATCTTGCTCTTTTCACTATATACATTATGACTTGGCTACGCATCTGAAGTACACTAATTGTGGAATACAAACTGATACAGCTCGCAACGCTTACATGATATCTTACATAAATGCCAAGAAAGACGGAGGAATATATTACAATGTGAACAGACTTTGCGATAACCTTAGGTTATGGCTGTAAAAGTGATTTCTGCTGCACAAGTATAATTTATGTGACAGTCTTGTACAACCAGTTCTACCCTACGGTTCAGACATATGGGATGCCCACAATAATAAGGAGATATTTAGAGCCTGTAGAGGTTTCCTGGGCGTTTCCAGATATGCACATGGTGTCGCCGTCAGAGGAGATATGGACTTGTTAGATCCCCAGTATGAGGTGACCACAGAGACATTATAGCCTTGGTGCAGACTTCAGAGAATGTCATACAAGACTCATACCAATAATCCATTATTGGTTCAAACGCTCATGGGAAAATAAAGTTTTAAGAGTGTGTTTCTTTATTACGGATATTCGTGACGTGATGGGAAATCATCAGGATTAATTTTGAACCAAATTCCTGTAATCCCCAATGGAAAAAGATTGAGATGCTAGGTATGAAATAATCAAGTCGATGCCCAAATTAAGAACGCTCAGAAGCTTTTTATTTTGTCTTTTGATACAGAACCTAATCTAATGCTATCCCATTATAATTTAAATTCTTTAATGTGTGACTCAAAAATGCTATTACGAATAGAAACGGGTATTGCATTCCACGAAATGAAAGATTGTGTATATTTTGTTTTAACTGTAATGAAGATGGAAAACATTTTCTTCTACAATGTTCATTATATGATGATATTTGCGATCGTTTCCCTGATTTACCTAATATGTTTATTAATAAACAAGCTTTTCATTAACACCCAAGATGTTAAAATAAAACTATGACTACAAACTGATGTCATTTTAGGAAACTTTGGGTCAAAAAATGTTCTTGTCGTAAACGTACAAAAACAGTTTAATACAGATGTATATTTTAGATGTATGTATACATTTGTTAGCGTATCATTGCCCTAACACCCGTGACGATCCGGGGTAGAATAGGTCTTCAGCAACCCATGTTTGCCGTAAAACGCGACTATGCTTGTCGTGAGAGGCAAATATTTCAACATTTCATATCAATATTAATGAAATATATGGATAGTCTTTAGGTACAGACCATTTCCTATGCTGGAAAATATATGCGTTGTCAGTAAAAACAAAACATTTCTCACCTTCATTGAAAAAGAAAATTGCTGTCTTGAAAAAGTGACAGAAGAACAAAATCAGTGATTCCATTTCTTATTGACATATGTAGGAGATATAACGAACAATGCAAGTTGACAAATGTTTATAACATAGGCTGTTAAACATGACGCCAAATTCCGCGATGACAATACAAATGCTTATTTGAATTGATCCTGCAACGACCTAGTCACCAGAATAATCTCTCACTTCCCCTGCAGTGTCATTAGGTGAACTAAGAGGCTCCTCATCAATCTGATCATGAGTCTGTACTCTCTTCCAACAGCAAACTGTCACACAGTCCGGTTACTCCAATACCGTGAACACCAATGTGATGCCAGCTACATGTAACATGTAACTGACTAAAATTTAGTTGATTAAACGTAAAAAATAATCAGCACATCTATATTTCAAAGTATGATTAAAAAACAAGTGTTTTAAGCAATATGAGTGAGTGAGTGAGTGAGTGAGTGAGTATGGTTTTACGCCGCTTTTAGCAATATTCCAGAAATATCACGGCGGGGGACACCAGAAATGCGCTTCTCACATTGTACCCATGTTGGGAATCGAACCCGGGTCTTCGATGTGACGAGCGAACGCGTTTTGTGCAATATGATTCAACATGCCTTTTCTTGTAATGTACTACTGTAAACTACGTTTTATAACGGACACGCTTACAACGAACTGACGGTTATAAAGCATATAAATAACATATTTTTTTATCCCGACAATTTGCTGTTCAAACATGTATATATGCTTAAAGCGAACTACGTTGACATCGAACTAAACTCTGTGGTCCCTTTGAGTTCGTTATAACCGTGGTGTACTGCACTTTGATAATTCATCTGATGATAACCAGAAATGTCGAACATATAAAGGGAGTACTTATATGCTCACTGCAATGGTCCAGCAAATGCATAATCATCAGAACGACATCTAACTTTCCCTGTCTATGAACTCAGAGTTTCAGAGCTAGCGTGTTGTTACGGGAAAATGGTCATAGTCGTCTTCAGCAGTCTTTTCCTCAATCTTTCCTAACTGTGCTACTGCCTTGTTTGCAGAAGCGGTAGTGTCGTAGTCATTTTGGACCGTTTTGGTGCGTGCTGCCTCCTGGAGAAGATTATAGCCATAGTCGTCTTCCCGTGAAAGTGTCCCACTGCCTGCTGATTGGGCAACCGATGCTGTTGTATCATAGTTACTGGTCAGGACAGGTGGTTTGTCTCCGATGTGATCATAATCGTCTTCAGTGGCAGAAGTAGAAGGATTCGGTGTTGTATTTGGTTTAGTGATTGGATCGATTGTGAAATAATTGTTCATATTTGGAGAAGCCGCTATACCATCAGCAGTAGCATAATCATAATCACTCATATCTCCACGTGTCTTCAGGTTCTCTATCTCCTGGTAATGGCTCTGTGACATATTACAGGGAATGCTGGGAGCCTTTTGATCCCTACAATTGGTTGACTTCTTTTCATTTTTACCCGTATTGTCTCTCCTGAAATGTTGAATGAGAACATTAGGTCAGAGAAATGAAAGTGTAGCAAAATATATCATTCAAAGTGCCTGTGTAATCACCTCAGGTTTCATTTGAATTGCGCATAAAACAGCTGTAGTAAGAGGATTCAAGTGGCTGCATTCATGTATCGAAAGTTACTCGGTGTTTAAGATATGATAAATCACGTTGTTACATGTAAGAAGCATCTGTTTTTCAAAACAGTTCATGGTAAATATTCAACTGTTAGTTTGAGTAAATATTTATCCATGCTATTCCTGTACGGTCAATGAAAAGGCTTATTATTTAGAAGCTCGTAGATGAATATGGTCTAGAATCATTTTGAAATATCAATTACTATTACACGTGGCTGCTGAAAATGTATACGCGTGATCCTTACCGTTTTCGTAAATACCACACTGTGACTAATACTATAAGCAGCACAGCCAGGACAGAGGCCACAACTCCTCCAACGGCTGCACCAACACTACCAGTTGCAGCAACAGCTCCATCGGTTTCATTCAGTCCTTCACCAAAATATCATAATACATTCATATTTTTCCTAAATATGTTTAGTTAAAGTATATACTTTGAATACATAAACTAATAAAATAACAAACGCCGACTGAAATTGACCGATTTTTGAAACTTCTTCCTGCTTCCACGTGCACTCTACGAACACATTTGGTATGGAACTGAGCATGCGTGTCTGTTAAGTACACAGTACTTTAGTTCAGAATCACGCGAGTACTTTAGTTCAGAATCACGCGGTTGTTAAGGTTTTAATGCATGGATAGAAAGCACTATTATTGTAACGTTCAGTGGACATATCACTTTTGTTCACAAAACCTCATTTGATCGCGAAAGGATAAATGGGACCATTGGTGAGCTACTCGAGCCAATCCGTGTCAATCCGAATTAAGACCCCCCCCCCCCCCCCCCCCCCCCCCCCCACACACACACACACACACACACACACACCTCAAAGATTCCGTAATGAAGAAATCATATGTAATGTATATAAATGAATGAATATATAGAGCATTTAGTACACAAGCCAAAAGACATACCCCTTACGCAAGTCAGATCTACGAATTCCGTTAAAAATATAAATGACCTGAGAAAATACCACCTTCTCTTCTTTCAATAGGGTCTGTTAGAAACATACATATCTTGGTTCGCCCCCGTTAGTGGGCAGATTTTTAGACGATTATATCTTCTGGCGCGTACACGCTCCAGTCGCTTGCAACGTTTGCTTATTAACACTGTTGGAATAACACAGACAAGGGTATTAATTCAAGCATTGTTATTGTTCACCAAGGTTTCTGCATGCCACCTTCTAATCTTGAATATTTAGCTTGTTTTGCAAACACTATACTGTAAATTTTGTATAGATATACGGATTTATAATGTCAAATGAAACACGTGTTTCAACATTGCCAAAACCGTCTATCATATGCTATCTCGCATTCGTACATTAATGCATTATTGATGGAATAATGACAGGTGCCTCACATTAGATGAATTCCATACATTTTAACAAATATTTTAAATTTCAATTTGAAGAAAGGTATTGTTTCATACTGCGTATGTTCATAAATCTCGGGCCGTGTACATTTGCATAATTATGTTTAACCTGTTTTAAATATTACATCTGTACTTAAGTAAATTATCCGTCTGTTTTTCTGCCAAAATTTCAGCTTAAAACAACAAAATGGTTCAGTACAAAGCTTATCCCATGCCGCAGTTGGCAAGCACCTCTCATCACAGAGGGAAACAATATAGAGCTACCAGTCCTTTGACTTAATAATACTATTTTAACTGACATAAATTTGACCAGAAATGAGCTTCAGGATGTCCTATTATCAGCTGACACAACCAAAGCTTAGTAGTAAACTTTTAGAATTCATGGCACTTTCCATATGTGATCCTCTTACCAAAGTTTACAATTTTTCCTCACGTACCTCTGTTTTTCTATTCATATGGAAAGAGGCTTCAATCATACCTATTCATAAAAAGGCAGTGTGAACGAATGTTCAAATTAGAGACCAGTTGCTCTGACAAGTTGCTCAGGAAAAGTATTTGTAAGATGTGTGTTTAAATACGTATTTAATTTCTTTAGAGATAACACTATTCTGAATAATTTGCAATCGGGATTTATGCCTGGTGATTGCACAACTTTTCAGTTAACGTATCTTTATGATTAGCAAAAACAATCGATAATGGTAAAGAAGTAAGAGCTGTATTTTGCAATGTTAGAAAAGCTTTTGATAAGGTATGGCATAAGAGCATTGTGGAATCCGCGGACACGTATTAAAATAGTTTAATATAGTTACCTTGAAGATAGAATACAGAGAGTTGTTATTCAAGGTAGTATATAGTATATCTAACTTGAAACCTGTAATGGCTGGAGTCCTACAGAGGTCAGTTTTGGGGCCACTGCTATATCTTGTATACATTAATGATATCGTTATAGGCAATAAGATGTAGAATGGAATGCTATGTAAAGCATATCGGATACCATTAATCATTGGAATACGTTACCTGATAGAAGAACTTAATTAGTCTCAGTTGCAATGCGATGTGTGGGAATTATTCAAGTAAGTTTGCAGGCTTTATCCTATTAAAACATTCAACGTGACTCCCATCAGGAACATCGAAATACATTTTGTATATAGCCATGAACGTTTAACTTAATTTCCTCTCATTATTGATATTAAATTGTTCTTTAATCATATATAACATGAGTGAGTGTGTATGGTTTTACGCCGCTCTTAGCAATATTCCAGCAATATCACGGCGGGGGACACCAGTACCCATGTCGGGAAACGAACCCGGGTCTTCGTCGTGACGAGCTAACGCTTTAACCACTAGGCTACCCGACCGCCCCATATATAACATAAACAGTTTTGTGATTGTTACTGGGGGCATTATTATTTTGCAATCCATCATGACCTCGAACACTGCAGACTGGACAAAATGACTTTGGTTACCATAAAGCATGGTGGGCCTGTCAATTACATATATAGACAGCTATGTGACATGGATGTCTACAGGGAGAGTATATGTTTGTTGAGAAATCATTAAACAGAGCGTGCTCTATTTTGTTGTTGTTGCAGACGCATGAGTACATTTTAGAGGATATGTATATATTGAAATACATATAGCCTGTACGTTTCGGATTTGTTGAAGAATTTGACGGTTTGATCTGTAAAGTAAAGGTCGAAACATCAGACACTGATGCATTTTGCACTGTTTGTTTGTTGTTCGATGTTTAACGCCGCACTCAGCCACATGACGGCGGTCTGCAAAAATTCGAATCTAGACCATACAATCTAGTGATTGACACCATGAGCACCGTTCTACAACCCGATTCCGTTAGTCGCATCTTACGACAAGCATAGTCGCCTTTCACGGCAAGCATTGGTTGCTGTATTTCTAACCCAGATCTTCACGGGTGATGCGCAAATGGGAGGCTCTGAAAAATTCTAAAATGTGAATCAAATATCAATCTTCTTTCAAAACACACTTACTTTCAATACAGTGATATTTGACAACAGAGAAATTGGGACCTTCGCCTCGCCGGGGAGCAGGATACGCACACCGAGGTTCTTTTGAACAGTTCTTGGAGAGGGGTGCCAGCTCGCTGCTGTTAAACCTCCAATATCCATGTTCTGTCACATGATCGGGGTTGTTTAGGCAACTTGCGATACCTGTCGGTCCACACTCTGTATTGTTAGTGAAGTATGCGTCACAGATGATGATGTTCCCGGTACTGTTACAGTTGATGTAATGTGTAGTACAGGGAAGTGTGTGGGTTCCATAGCATGCTCTGCTGGTTCGTGTTGTGTCTACACAAAAGACATGTCACAACAAACAGGTATTAAAATTTAACGTAGGATCAACATTGCTTAAACCTAGCATACAGTGTTAAAGTTAGGCCGGAATAACACGCTGTTTTCAGGTATATATAATACATAGAGATTACTACACGAGTGTCTGTCAGATACCATTGATCTTACAACGAGTTGTTTCAAAACGTATCTAACGAGCGAAAGCGAGTTGTAAGATCAGTGGTATCTGACGGGCAGGAGTTCAGTAATCTGTTTCTTACACACCCTAAAACCGAACCATTGTAGCATCGAATCGGTTTCTATTGAATTTACCACACCATTGTAATGTTTACATTTGAAATTCCATAATTAGTGCAAGGATATTCGTCCTAGAATATTCTCAAACGCGTGATCGAGCCAATGTATGCAACAATTAGACGAAAGTACCTCTAAAATGCTACACAGTGTAAAATCAGTGCAAGTACAGTTTTCCGAGCACTGTGTTCGTTTCCGCACCTTATTTATTTATAGTAATAAATAATAACTTGCATTGGTGACAAAGACCATTTGTCATTTGTTTCTAAAATGTATGAGGAATTCAGGGATGCAAGTATAGCAGCTGAGTTTGAAATATACCTGATCGAATAGGCGTCTAATAACCGGTATTTTGTAAACATAATCCAATATGGTGGAACGTACACCTCGGCGTTCGTGTATGCGTATTTTCCAAAGCATTCTAAACGATTCTAGGCTTATCAGCGACGCTTCAGCATTATCATTAGTGATTTAATACCCGTGATCACTTATATGGTATTTTCTACTTTAATTATTCGAGTAAATATCCGATATTTAGATTTCTAAACACACAGTAAATAACGCCGTGAATTGTGATTTGACGAGATTTACGATGTACCCAATTTTCAGAAGTAACTTTAGTTAATTCTGCTTTGCCTAAAATGATAGTAAATGATAAACAGAGGAGGGAATTCAAAACTGTGATGTGTATTTGTGTGCGTGATGTATTTAGAATTTTATTCGATTTCGAAGTGAGGTTTGAAGAGGAGGGACATACAATGTATGTGTCGCTGTGGTATCCAGGGGATTCACACTCTAAAAAAGGATAACGTTGACATAACAACAGATAATGTAACTGTAGCGGACGAGTTAGTTTATTATTATTATTATTATTATTTACACGGTCCCGTGGTTCAACACAGACGTAGGTGAACATTCGACTGAAGAACGAGCAACTTATCAATGACTTGCAATCAGAAAAGTAGTGCGTCATCATCTGACCTCAGGTCATCGCCATGGAGTAGTCAATCACGGGCCTGGAATTCGATCTCACACATATGTTTGATGCCAGTTATCTCAAATGTGTTTCTCACCCACAGATGTGTAAGAAAACATGTACCTACCCAAGTTAATATAGTTTGGACAACCGTATGAGAAGTGGATAGTACATAGTTAATAGGTACAATAGAACAAGTAGATCGTTGATGCTATAATATATTAATGACGTTTTACGCAGCAACCAGCAATATTAAAGCCAACGGCGAACTGTAAATCGAAACTAGACAAACCAGTTGTTTTCAGCAATGATCGGCTTACCAAATACAAATCGAATAAGATCATTTTGATTATTTCCCATATTAACAAACGCTTTTAATGAGTTTTCTTTGCCTTAAATAGGCAGCATATAATAGATGGTTTTGGTATATTATTGTGGCCATGGGTGTCACACAGTGAATCATATGCCCCATACAAATACATAGATAACTGGAACTAGGGTTTATCTATGGTGGTTATTACATAAACGTGCAATTCGTTCAACCTTAACTTTGTTTATCTTTTAATTGTACTTTTTGATATGTCATTTACAAACTATAATCAAAATAAAAAAGCACATGAAAAGCTAAAATTATTATATCATTAAAACATTCTAAATAAATGTCGACAATTCAAGTAAGATATTATGTTATGTAATCAAAGCGTGCATAAGGTGGATCATGGCATTCGTTATGCTGTCCATTCAACACACATACTTTAAAGAATGAAGGTAAAGACACTGGACCTGTTATTGTTAAAAAGACAAAACCATCATAATATAAATAGCTGTGCAATCTCATCTTATTTGTATCATAAAGCATCAAAATGGACAGAGTTAATTAAAAAATAGAAAATACGCTACAAAGGCATGAACCAACAACGGTAACAAATTTTGTTCTCAAAACGCATCAACATGTCCTATCCTACACGGGTAAACCCTCACGCACTCAACGGGTTTGCTAATTATATAATGAACCCCGGAGATACATGTAAGTAACATCGCATACATGTTCACAAGTAGAGACTGCAAGAGGACGTGTAAGGTAATACTCAAGCGGATACATGTAATATGAGTGGTAATACTCAAACAGAACAAGGTCAGTTGATCATACCACCTTGTGTCAATCCAGTAAATTCTCTTTGTAAATATAGTACGATTAAAACCGACAATCGACTGAACCCAACAGAAAACGCATGTACGTTATGTATGTATACCTTCCAATTTCTATTACCCCAAGCGCTGATTGATTCATGGACACTGTCTACTTTAATATTACTTACCATGACTTAGGCAACATATCAAGAAGTCACTCAAGTGGTGCTTAGAATATATGCACAAAGCTCAACAGGAGATTTATTATGCAGTGTGATGTCTGTTAGATTCCAAATGCATATATTACATATATCGAAGGGCCATACTATACATGTATATACTTGGATCATACCGACTTTCATTCTCACTAATGTCTTACCTACGTAAACTTTCCGAAGAATGCAACCCGAAATAACAATAAAACAATACATAATTTATGAGCGAGTGAGTTAACTCCGCTTTTAGCAATATTCCAGCAATAACGCGACGGGGGACACCGGAAAATGTGCTTCACACATTGTACCCATGTGGTGTATGAAACCGGGCCTTCGGCGTGACGAGCCGACGCTTTAATTACTAGGCTACCCCACCGCCCCCAATAATTCATGTTTGTAATGCAAGCATTTTAGTCTTAGGTGGTATACAAGGAAGTAGCATGTGGGGCCGTGCTATGTTATCTGTAATTTTCATCCTTGTTAAACACTGTCTCCCCGTCGATTACACATGAGACGGGAAGACCCACACTGTAGAGGGTGGACAATACAGTGTAACAACAACGCTCTGTTTACTTCATACGTTGCTCACGTCGTATTATTCCGTACACAAACATTCATCCTTTAAAAATACAGTCACATCACTTTGGCATACAATTGTTGGCGGGTAGGTACTATTTGTCCTGGATGAGACACAAATAGCATCTATAACATTCAGTGTTGAGTATCTCGCGACACTCTACCCGTGACTTTACCTGCTTGTTTACCAGGCCATAGAAAACGTGCACAGGGTGTTGCGATGTTGGAATATATACATGTATGGCAGGGCATGGAGTAATTGAAAACCCCCAAGGTCTTGGTAATATTAATTAATATATCACAAGAACAAAAAAATCAAAACCATGTACCATTATTATTTTAATAAATATTCGATTCGCCATGCAGAGTTGCGTCCTAGAAAACCTATGATTGTGGGTTCGGATCCCGGTTCGCCCCGATTATGTTTCTAGGTTTGTCAGCACCATACCCATGCTCGTGGGTTTCATCGAAGTGGTAAACGCCCGAGACCTGCATCACTTCAGGCTTTCCTCCCAAATTAAGCTGCACGCCGAGATATCACTGGAATAATGTTAAAAGCGGCGTTAAATCCATCTCCCTTACTCACTCACCTTATATATATATTGTAGGGGCGGGGGTGTAACCTAGTGGTTAAAGCGTTCGCTCGTAACATCGAAGGCCCACGTTCGATTCACCACATGGGTACAATTTGAGAAGCCCATGTCTGGGGATATTGCTGGAATATTGCTAAAAGCGGCTTAAAACCAAACTCACTCACTGTAACTACGGCACGTGTGTCAGTGTTAGTGCAACATGACTGTATCTGACACGTTCATGTTAGAAAGATGCAGCATCACACGCATCAATCCGCTTTTTGATTAACTGATAAGCGTGCTAGAGACCACCGGGAATGACCGAGAGCATTTGTATGACGTACCAGAATGTTATGTTCAAGATAATCGGTCATAACCCATGTGGCTGCATGCTCAGTTAACCGGGTAACAATTAGCACTGACTACGGATTTATACACAATCAAAGGAGAGGCGACATTTCGCTATTTTTCTTATGTGGTAGTGTCGGAAGGTTCGCTGTTACCTCCACTGATTTGAATTGCATAATGACATATGTCGTCATGAAAAGTCGATTCACGTGTCTACATCCATACACAGTCAGGGAAGCAAGTACCAACAACACTACCAGGAAAATGTATAATGAATAGAAGTATGTATAAAATACAGATGTACAAGAAATAGGAGTTTGGATACCTTCAACTGTTATGGCATTTTAATACCAAAATGTAAACATTTCTCGTAACCAACAAACGGTAGACTTCCAACATGTGATGAAAATCCTGATGGCGACAATTATGGAATACTGTAAGGATCTCGACCTATGGAAACGAGCTAAATATGCCCAAAACACGAGAATGCGAGATCGCTAGAACGCGAGATTTGGCCAAAACCTCGCGTTCTCACGATCTCGCATTATCGTGTTTTTGGTACATAGCACGTTTTGTCAAAAGTCTTGCGATCTCGACTTGTCAAATTAGGCCACAGAAACTCGAAATCGCGAGAACGCAAGAATGCGACATTTCATTTTTTCATCTCCTGTGCTCGCGTTTTAGACGCTGTCCGTGCGCACGAAACCCACGAGCACGGGTATGGTGCTGACGAACCTAGAAACATAATCGGGGCGAACCGAGATTCGAACCCACAATCATAGGTGTCTGGCGTGTCCAAGGGACACTACTCTGCACAGCGAATCGCGTCGCCTAAGGCGACTGGGCTACCCGTGCCCCCTTTAATATTGAGAAAGGTACCTAATATAATGTTCAAAGTGGTGATCATTTCATTTTCAACTCATAATTATCAAAATGAGTATTAAACTGATTATTTGCGGGAAAATGTTTATTAAAATACCACAATTCCAACGAATATATATGAACAATTCTGATTGGCAAGCGCTGCATGTTTCGACTCAAACCATCATATGTAACCTTTGTAAAAAACGCGAGAATGCGAGATCGCGACACTTGACCAATGTCGCGATCTCGCATTGTCGTGCGTTTTTGTCAATTGCCTATACAGTTATGTGCAACTATTTTTAAAACGCGAGAACGCGAGATTGCCACACTTGACCATGCCAATGTTGCGATCTCGCATTCTCGCGTTTTTCTGCCAATCACCTACACAGTCATCTAGTGGCTCAGTCGTCTGGACGTGCATAAAACCTATGATGGTGGGTTTCGTCCCATTTCTAGCTGACAAGTCGGGGTATAATTAAAATATATATACTGTTTAAAGCAGTGTTAAGCCAAACTCACTCACTTATTCAGAGCCATGCCGGTCCCTCAGGCTGGATATTGGGGGTACTTTTCCAGTTTAAGCATGCCTATCATGTGGATGTCAAGGCCGCAATATTTTAATAGTTAGAGTTTGATTGAATTTTAAAAACGCGGGAGACGGGACGCATTTTATTTTTAACATTTTATTGTTTGCTTATCGAACTATTTAAGGCATATGTGTACAATTGCTGTTAAAGGGTGCGATTCACATGCATCATGCGTGTTCATTAGGGCTACGTGTACGGAGTAGGAACACACATATTAGCGACATTTCTATTTCTAGGAACTTTGAGGAAACAGAATAATGTAAGGCGGGATGTTTTGTAGTCAGGTGGGAGAGGATGAAGATCTATTAAATAATTTTTAATTTTGTATGGCCTAAAGAAGCGAATATGGTGTCGTGTAAAAACATCGGACAATCTCATTTTAGCCGAATGCTACAAATTGGTCTTTGAGAATTTTGTTTTATTGAATATGCTAGCCGTGTATAATATTGCCTCATGGAGAAAATCACTGCCTGTCATTATTTCTGTAACTGACAGTGCAGCCGCGAATAGCTGCAATACTACTGATGTGGCTTTAAGCAATATTTACTCTCTCACTGACAGTGATATTTTGTTTCCAGCCTCCGAACACTTTAATGTTTTCACTATCACTATACATTCATGTACACAACTTCTTTTGTTAAATTATATTGAGCATGTTGAGGGTTTTAATTTAAAGTACACAGGAAACTGTACAAAAGGGAGAGGACTCTACTCTACATACTATTAGGACTTTGTGTATGTAAATTACATTATACATAGCATTTTCAAGCTCAAGTCATAATTTTGCTAAATGCGACTTGGAGAATGAAGAGCATGAAAGAAGCATGTCCTCTGAGAAACCAAACCAGCACGTATGTATAATAATGTGAGAGCAACGATCATAATCGGGAGAATCCGGGATTCCAAACTACGATGAGCGAATTCTCGATCACCCGGTTGAGTGACTCACCCATGCAGGGAGAAGAGTGGCGCATTCGACTACTATGCTCGTGCCCTATAAATCGGCTATACATCGGCTTTATCACCCTTTTCAAAACTTTGTTAGTGAAGGCAATGTATATTTAATATCCCTTTGTCGTCTACTACCACAGCCATACATGGTTTTCAGATAAACACAATCATCTTTACCTGTATTAACACCTATAGCTAGTGATTGCGTTGACATTTAATCCACAATGCTGAGGTCGCCTACAAGGAAGTAAGGCGACATGAAATCACCTGTATGCAGGCATACATACACTTACATGACCATCCGACCAGAAAATGTGTTTCTCCATGGTACATAGAAAAGAAATGTAAAGACATGATTGTAATGAATGTACTTCTCACACAATATGTCTCAAGTATAACTGTTATGCTAATTTGATCACGACATTGGTCCAGCAAATGCATAATCATCAGAACGATCTCTAACTTTTCCTCCATGAGATGAACTCAGCGTTTCAGATTTGCTGTTTGATCCAGGGAAATGGTCATAGTCATTTTCATCAGTCTTGTTACTCCCGTGGAGCCGTGCTACTGCCTTTGCCGTAGAAGCGGTAGTGTCGTAGTCATTCTGGACTGTCTTGGTGTTTGTTTCCTTCTGGAGAAGATTATAGCCGTAGTTGTCTTCTCGTGATTGTGCTGCAGTGCCTGCTGATTGGGCAACCGAGGCTGTGGTATCATAGTTGCTGGTCAGGGCAGATGGTTTGTCTCCGATATGATCATAATCGTCTTCCGTGGCAGAAGGTGCAGAATTCTGGTTTGTGTTTGGTTTAGTGACTGATTCGATTGTGAGATAGTTCTTCTGATCAGGCGCAATATCAAAAGCGTCCGCAGTAGCATAATCATAATCATTTGATCTGCTGTTTGTCTTCAGTTCGTCTATCTCATGGTAGTTGCTCTGTGGACTATTACCGGCCAAGTTATCTGTGAAATCAGTCTTTACATCCTTGGAAGGAGTTATTGTCTTCTTACTTCGATTAGTTTTGCGTCTCCTGAAAAGTTAAACATTTAATAGCGTAATGTTGAACATGTTCTTCCTTACCGAAATAAACATTTGTTACCATTCTAAACAATATATTTACATAAACAGTTACACTTTAACCGAAAATGATGCTGGCAAAATACATACATTCATTTGTAATGACTGCATAACGTTTTTCATCAAATAAATAAGGCTGTCCATCCCCATGAGGAGGACTTATCATGTATTAACAGCAACCATCATTCATACACAGCAACCATCGGTGACGGACAGCAAAAAAATTCATGCACATCAAATATCGTGCGCAAACAGCAACATCACTACGTGAACAGCAACAATCGTGTAGGAAAAGCAATAAAAATGAACACAAGGCAACTATCGTGGACGAACTGTAACAATACAGATTGCATATAAACCATTGTGCACGAAGAGCAAAAATAATGCATATTGATAAAGCAACAAAACCCTTTCCATATCCAATAGATATCTCTGCTCAAAGCAGAGTCGACTGTAAGATTCCAACTATATCAAGAACATGTGTTTGTGAATCACTATCAAATAGCAATGACGTGGTGTTCCCGAAAAGATGAGTGTATTTTGCCCCACCGGTGGCACCCGTCACAAATACATGCAAAGGCAAGTAAAGTGTTACAAATATGGTACAAGTCAAAATAGGTAATTGCATCAGGCATAATTTTTGGTCACTGACATGCCAATTTTATCTGTCGTGCATTTGATACTTACCGTTTTCGTAAATACCACACCAAGGTTAGTGCGATAACAATTAGAATCAGGATTGTGGTCACAACTCCACCAACAACTGCAAGTAAAAAAGCATTATAATAAACAAGTACATATACATATACAATATAATTTTGATATAAATATCTGACCTGGTGTCATCCGATAATGCAGGATAATAAAATTGACTGCAAATCCAAAACCAAAGACTCCTCCCTATAAACGATTATCAAAAACACATCGTTTTACATGAAGTTTAACCATTTATTTTATGTTCTTCAAGTATAATGTGTTCGATCTCCTTGCCGCGTCTAAGTAAAGAAAGTTTAATTTTGGGACATGTTACTTTTGCCTTGCAACAAAGACCGACCGGTTCGAAATTTAGTGTGTCTGTGTGGGGTATAGAAGTTAAACTGGGGCACCTCAAGGGGCTAGCACTATAAGACCGCGCATAAATATGAACCAGTACAATAAATCACACCCACCCACCCGCGTGTATGTACGTTGCTATATAATAATCTTGGATGCGACGTTAAGCCCCCATTTCCCCTCAGCTCTAGAACAAAATCATAAGCGCTATATATATATATATATATATATATATATATATATATATATATATATATATATATATATATTGGTTGTCAAAACAAATGATTATGCTTCTACTTGTATCTAAGAAATATTCATATGTATCATGGATATCTCAGAGTAAATGAATTACTAATTCTTACTGCTGTGAAACTTCCATTTCTAGATGTAGTTGCATTGGATTGGATTAGTACTGATCATTCTATGGAATCGACGGGAAAGTGTCTCGACACACAAAGAGTCGAATAAAAGGCAATGTTTACTTTAAAATGTTCAGTACATCATGGAATATATCTTAAGAACTTATAGGCACTAAACTTTATGGCAAAATGTTAGAGGGCACCTTCATTTCCAAGAAGGCATGGCACTGTGACTTGCCTGATTGCATGTCATTATCGATCATCTCCCACTGGTGTGGGTCGTTGTTGGTGCTTTCACTAATTGGTGTCCCTGGTCTGGATTAGTTTAACATTATATGCTGTTAGTTACACGTTTAACGTCACCTTTGCTTTATCTCCGCCTAAAAGAAACATGTTGCCTATGTTGGGACCAAAGATGGTAATATCCGGAATATCACAGACTGCGGAGTTATACAACCTTCATTCCATGCATTCGAGTATAATACCTGCTGGTGTTTGCCCGCCTCTGTCCACTGTTTGGGTTGAAGTACTAATATGTGGTGACGCTGTAACGAAAAGTCATACATTTCATAATGAACATCTGCAAATGACAAGGTAATACGGAACTTCATACCGTCAGTATTATCTGTGTCGATGTTTGTTTGTTTGTTGTTTAACGCCGCATTCAGCAATATTCCAGCTATACGACGGCGGTCTGTAAATGATCGAGTCTTGACCAGACAGTCCAATGATTGATATCATGAGCATCGGTCCACGTAATTGAGACACAATGACATACATCAACCAAGTCAGCGAGCCTGACCGTCCGATCCAGCTGGTCGCCTCTTACGACAAGCATGGGTTGCTAAAGATCAATCTAACCCGGATCTTCAGAAACTCCTCTAGGGTATTTTCACAGGTTCTTTCGAGTATGTCTATTTTTCAAGCGAAAATCGCTGAAAATGAATGCTATATACAGATCCTGATATATATAGAGTTAACTTTGTTTTTCTAACTACAAACAGTTAGCCTTTACTTATTGTGTCCTTCGATTAATCATAAACTACAATTGACATTAATATATAACGAAATAAGGTCTCAATGTTGACATAATGACACATCCATGGGTATGATCCTTCCTGTACAATGTTTCAAGGTGTAATGCTGATGTTTTACCCAAGGACTTGATTTTTAAATACTTTAAAAATATAAACAGCCTTGTCCAACTGACCCAGAAAAAATATCAAACGTGAGCACATATCTTGGATGATGTGACTGTAACAACATTCGGACGTAAATGTAACTATTATGCGTTAGCATGGACAGAATATAAAGTGGATGCAAAACAGACATATTGCATTTCTCTTTTATGAAGGAGGTTGATGTTTACATGAACGACGTTCTTTCAACAAACTCATTTATGTGAACTATAAAATAATGCAATCATAGATAAAGCATGGTGCATCAATGTCGACACAGCATTTCGTCTCTGGTCAAGTGTCGATAAGTATTCTCTACCCAGAAGGCGCATGTTTGACGATCGTTCAAACTATAATTAAAATCAACATTTGTCACTGAGATTACCATCTTTTCATTCCCTTCCCCTGTCGTGAATACATGGTCAAGGGTTAAAACCTGTTCCCTTGGTAGCAGACATCATATGTTTAACCACGCGCGGAACATTAATTTATCATATCTCATTAGGCCAGTCTGACACTAGTTGCTTGCCACACACTGCGCGTGGCCAGATACCATCGTGTCAAACCCACATAATTTATGTTATACAATAGAGCTGTGAGGGTATTTAAGTCCTAAGATTTTCAGTCACAAGCACACTTGCTTAAATAAACCTCTTTTTCAAGTTAGGAAACATTTAAATATTGTTATTTTATGTATAAAACTTATTTTTTCATGTTATTATTGTCTAGAAAAAGTAAGAGTTAAGTTTGAAACAGAGAATCATATATTGCCATGGTTCAGTACTCAATTCAGTATGATGAAACACATGCTAATCCTAAACGGCTGCAAATAATATTTATCGTTTCGTACTTAGGCGCTATCCAATAATGCTTTGCGTAACCTGCTTCGTGAGCTCCTCCTGTTATGTCTTTAATGTACAAAACCAATAGTACATGACTATATTTCCACATCCACTATCATATCCAAATTCTATGTCCATGTTCAACAATGTTTGATAGTCTAGATGTTTGTGCTTCAACGTAGCGTACACATAGCTCAGTCACAAAACGATTCCTAGGTTTAACATGACTACTTCAACCAATATGTATTTTTTAGGTAGGGCAGTTAATTCATAGTTTCTTCAGTTCGCTCATCAAATGTTATGTGAGTAGATTTACCTCCCGTACGCGCTTTCAGTACAAACTATAACATCGCATTCTGTATTTTTATGTTTTATCACCATGTATAAGTATTTAAATATTGTAATAGGTTTCGTTCTTTACTCAGTTATATATTATAGTACAAAACAGCCTTTCCGCCTAATACATTACCGTAATCATTTAATAACATATTTAGTCCTCTTTTTCATTTCGCGACAATGCACATTGAAACGCGCCTCGTTCAAATATACAATTACCGAATTCACTTCATTATATGTTATCGTCTAGCGCTTTATATATAATTAGCTATAGTAATGCACGTCGTCAAATGACATCGCCTGCATGATACATTACCGTAGTCACCATAATAAGCCTTACTGAAACTTACTTTTTTCTCACTAAAACTGAGCCCTCTTCTACCTGGTACCGCCTTATCTTTATTCGGAAAAATCACCCTGCAATTTACTCACCATGTTTTATTATTACGTCGCTTTCGTGATACACTATTGTAGTCATGGAAATGATGGTTACTGAAACTTAATATTCTCTACGAAGTAAATATCTGGTTCGTCATCTGCGCAGTTTACCGTATATGCTCTACGTATATATTTTCATTCATCAAATTAACTCTTTATTATGGTGCATATATATGGTACGAAAACATAGAAAGTAGAAATGCTATAATAACTTCGTGTTAAATCGAATAACGTTGCGCTGATGCATAAAACGTTGTGTGGGATCTGTCTTTCACCGGCTATATAATTACAGACTGCCCGCGAAAAGGAGACTATAAACATCAGCAAACATCAACGTTATGAGATACGATTACACACATCTATCGAAGTCTTTGAGCCTGGGTCACCGTTTCATCTTTAGTCGGCTCTTTGCTTATGTATGATGTACTGGAAACACGTAGTGACTAGAAACCCCTCAAGAGTTTGTAAGCTTAACGTCATGTGTCCTACAGGCACCCACAATGTTAATCATTAATGTCTTATTGAAAACCTGATAACTGAAATCGTAAAGGAGTAAAGGAGTTAATATTTATAATGGATTATCCTTAGACTTTGGAATTTTCACCAATTCTGTTAGTGAATTAACATCACAACACTCCCACTCTTTAAGGGTCATTAACCAATATGTATGTACACTCTCATAGCATTGTAATGTGTGCCAACCTTACCTTCATTGCATTCATATCTCACAACAGAGAAAGCTAGATTTTCATTTCGTCGGGGTGCAATATACACACAACTTGTAGAGCAGGCTTTAACGAGCGAAGACATCTCAGCGGTGCTAAAAAAACTGTGCTTTCCGGATTCTGTCACATTGTCCGGGTTCACATTGCATTCTGAGAGACCGTTTATTGTACACTCTGTGTTGTTAGTGTAGTAGGCATCTTGTATGTCGATCTTCTGGGTGTTGTTGCAGCTAATGTCATGTCGAACACAGGGAAGGCGACCGGACCCATAGCACGCTTTACTGGTATGTGTTATGCCTACAAGAAAGACACATCAAGAACATGTATGAATATTTAACGTGATCAGTGTGAACAGTGTATGCGAGACTAAAATAACCACAGAATGATCTACCAGCAACTGAAGCGTTTCCACTCGTTTCCGTAATCGTTTATTGACACAGAAAGAATGTCGTGAAGGCCTTGAGTTAATATCTGGAGGCTACGACATTAACACTGTAATCATCTCTTACCTGGGTGAAATGTGATTAATGTATTATCTTCCCTCAAACATTACTTTGCATTGATGACACTTCTGAGGCAAGATTGTTTACATTTTGAAATATGGACGAAATGTCTATTGTTATTGAATTATTATGATCGATACTTAGTAATGTACTCAGCGGTGCTTTGTACGGTTTAAACATATCAATTTGTTCCATGGGGTTTTGTTTGATAGAAGATTGATTAATACACTTCGAACTGTTGGTGGGGTTTATGCACGCATTATTAGTATAGCCTTTTTCACTGATCAAGTTTGTTCAGATAGGTTTTAATCATTGACGAATGATCATGAACAATAAACAGTGAATCTAGCATTCGCACCAACATGACATGCTTTCCTTACTCCGATTTGAACATTTCAGTGGTTAAACGGCACAACAGCTTGATGCACAAGGAAATCCCGTGATGATGCAGGTCTTAGATCTTTGCCCCGTTGGTAAAACCCACGAGCACAGGCATGGTGCTGACAAACCAAGCAACAAGGTAACGGCGATTGAACAACAGTACCCATGCCCGTGTGTGTTTAGTGTGTACGGACAATTATAATGATCGACACGAAACCCATTGTTATGAATTGAGGAGACTTCTGTACACCTACTGGTATTGTAGTCTATATGCAGGACGCTAAATAAGCAATAACTATCGGTGGATCCTCTGACAGGCTATTGCATGTTTTTCATAACATAAGGCAAACTACTTGGTTTTTTTGTGATGATACATAATATTGTTTATAACTCTCCTATACTTAAGAATACACTTCACATACTTATACAATAAAAATTATTATGATCTTGTAAACATAGTTCTGGAAGAACTATGCCCCACCCCACGGCAAAACCGAAACTGGTAATCAAGGTCGCGTTTTAGATTTCATCGTCATAGATAGAAAAATGAGACTATTATGTCAATTGTCGATTACTTTCTAGATATGACGCATTTTCAATTTAAACAATCATATATAAATAAAAGATTGCAAACATTTTTCAAAGATACTGTTAAATGCCGACTTCAACTGAGGGGCTCACTCAATCTATTGATGTGTTATACGATGTAACAAAGTATTTTACAAGCATAATAATAGATGCCCTGCAATGAGTCAATAAACTTACTGTTTAGTGTCTCTGACGTAAGTAGTAAAATGAGCATTCGCACAACGCTGCGTAAAAACACACAACCGAGATACCGATATGAGAGTGACCTCCCCTGAGAGTTACATGAAAACAACGAGCTCATCAATATGTTTTCTGTAAAGTCATAAAAGAAGGCATGTTATCTCACTAAAAGCAGTATGGGAGTGGAAAATTGGAACGTTTTCGCCTGGAAAACTGAAGGTGAAGTTTAGAATCCCGACTTTGAGTGTGTCACTTTGTGTGGCTACACTTTCCGTTATGATGATGTTGACAATAACTGTTTGTGGTGATGCGGAAACTAACCCGGGTCCTGGCATTACCGTCAGTGAACTTGCAGATATCGTAAAGAGTTTACAACAAGAAGTAAAAAACTTTAAAACAGCAAGTAGAAATACTTACGGAATCCATAGCGACCAAAACAAATGACTTGTTTTCTAAAACCGATGATTGAGAAAATCGGTCCAGGAGGGATAATATTGTTGTATATGGAATTCCAGAAAAGACAGAGAAACATGGGCAGATTGTGAAGAACAGGTCAGAATCATTATGAAAGATAAACTTGAAATGAAAAATGCACAGGATGAGAGTCAAGTTGTTATAGACAGAGCACACAGAGTGGGTAGGAAGAAGTCTCGACCAATAGTGGTTAAGCTTACCAGTAGTAAGACCAAGTCAGACATTCTATTGAGTGCCAGGAACAAGCTAAAGCAGTCTCCATTCAAGATGAGCGAGGACTACAGCTTCACAGTGACACAAAAGAGGAGGAAACTTATCCCACATATGCTTGATGCAGGAAAGACAGCAAGGAAGCCTATCTCCGCTTTGACAAGTTAATGATTTGCAATAAACTCTTTGATATAAATATTGAAACAGAGGAACTCATTGAACTGAAATAGGGATGTGGCCAGGGTTTGACTGATACAAAGTTTACCCATTCCTCCTGCATAAACAATATGAATATTCTCTCTTGGAATTGTCAGTCATTGAAACAGCATAAACATAACAGTAATATTAACCATATGTTGTCACAAAACATGATTGTCAGTTTGCTAGAGACATGGTGCTATTCACCATTGTTGAAGAAGACTACATTTTTTATGACAGTGCAGAATATCTACCCGCTAGTGATTGGTATGACAGCGATTGTTTTTCACTACCCCGTAAAAACAAAGATAAAGAGGTAAACAACTTTGGTAGAAGGCTGCTTGAAATTTGCTGTATATATTGTGTTCATTTTCCGACTGGAAGGTTTTCTGAAGATGAGGTTGGTAATTACACATGTACTGCAAACAATGGACGTAGCACAGTGGATAATATGCTTGCTACCTGAGCTCTGTTCGAGCAAGTCATAGACTTCAGGGTGCTGAGTCTGGACGAATCTGATCACGTTCCTATTATTTGTGAATTGAATTTTAACACTAACCTTTTGGGTAGAGCCGGTGACATGTTACTGACACCCTATACAAAGTACGTTTGGAGAGATAGTCTGTGGTAAGATAATCACTGATTATGTTTCAAAATCACTAATTAAGGATATCAATGCTGAAATTTAAAAGGATATTGATGACGCCGTCAATAAGATACTCCGTCTTTTCGAGCGGGCAGCAGCTTCAATGAGCAGACGACATTGGTCACGTGACTCTATACCCGCCCGACAGCTCGCGTGTTGGAACATGCAGTGTGGGACAGCCAAGCGTGAGAAGTATCGGGCCTTAGACAAATTTAGATTGACTGACGCTTCACTTGATTTGCAAATTAATAAACAAAAGAAGCGAATATTTGAATTAGTGTGTCATGATTGTAAATCGTTTTTTCGGCAAGGAATCAGAGATAAACTTTATAGTATTCGTGACAACCCTGATGAACTATGGAAGTCGTTTAAATCATTTAAAAAGACCAACTCGTCTTCTACAGGTAGCAAAGTTAGTGGCACTGAATGGCATGCCTACTTTAAACAGTTACTGCAATCAAGGTCAAACCACCTCGATTATTATAGATAAAGTTAATCAACATTTATTCGAGCATGATTCACATTGTAACAATTGCAATGAAGGACTACCTGATCAACTTGATAGAGAAATAACCCTTCAGGAAGTTACAGAGACAATCCGTTATCTTAAATGTCATAAACCTGCAGGTTGCGATGGAATTCCATCGGAATTATTGAAACATTCGTCATTTCAAATATCTCCGATACTTATGAATTTGTTTAATGGAATAATGAAAACTGGGAATTTCCCGATTGATTGGTGCAAGGCAAACATATGTCCTCTTCATAAAAGAGGCACTTTATCTTATCCAAACAACTACAGAGGAATCTCTCTGTTTCCAGTGATTGGAAAGGTTTTCACCAAAATATTAAACCAGAGACTCCAAAATTGGTCTCATGAAAATAATGTTATTTATCATTTAACTTAAGCATTTATCCATGACATAAGCTTATGACATAAAAACATGTATGTCATACCCCAATGACATAAGTATGCAAATTAGATATGCAAATTAGATAACCGGAAGAGCGAGCGGTTTGATTTGAAACTATATATTATAAGTGAAGTTACACCAGAGATATAATCAGATTACACAGAATCGTTGTTGTTACCGTTATTTAAGTTTCAATTATTCTGCAAAAGTCTGTTCAAGTATTTTGTTTAAAATAATCCGAGGAACTTTTTTTCTCAGCGAATTGTTTATTTTGGTTTACATGGCTATGGAAAACATGTATCACTACGTATGTATGTATGTATCTATACGTAAGTTGCTGACGTTAATGTTTAATGCAATTATTCCTTAATTTGGAAGCAAAAATGTGAAAATGATAAATAGAATTCATCACTCGTGTTTTTTAATATGGGAAATATCAACCTCGTCCCGTTAATCGGTATTTGCCTCGCCAAAGGCTCGGCAAATACCGATTAACTAAGACTCGGTTGATATTTCCCATATTAAAAAACACGAGTGATGAATCCTCTATTTATGAAAGTCAAGCTGGATTCAGGAAGGGTTATTCGACGGTGGACAACATGTTTTCTCCTTATGGGATGATTAGAAAATACCCCTCTAAATCAACAGGTGGCAGATTATATGTTTTCTTCATAGACTTCTCAAAAGCCTTTGATTGCGTTAATCACACTTTACTTTGGCATCGCCTTTTTAGCTATGGCATACATGGAAATATTTTAACTGTTTTAAGAAATATGTATTCAAAACTACAGACTTGTGTACGGACAGAGCAAGGTCTCACAGACTTTTTCAGTGCTGGAATAGTATGGTCAGCCCGCTGTTATTTTCATTTTACATCAACAAATTGATGACTTCTTCAACTATTGTGGCATTTTCATATCTAAAGATAATCCTAATATATGTTCACTTCTCTATGCTGATGATGTCGCTAATATGGCGAATGTAGGCTACCGTATTTTGAACACATGCAAAGTAAACATGTTTTTGAGTTGGCGAGAAAAGGTTTAGATTAACACAGGCTGGTCATTTATGAAAGTAGCTTTTTTTAATAACGTTAATTGAAATCACCGTTCAGGAGTATCTGGCGTAAGTATTAAGAACTAACCTTAAAAATAACACCATGTAATATTACACTGCCGAGATATGACGGATATTGTATTTTTTAACAAGCATTTACGCAAAGTAAAGCTTTTTAAGTTGGCGTGAAAGGGTTAAGATGAAAAGTGCCAGGTCATTTATCAAAGTGATGAAAAGATATTCTTGTTTATTTAATTTTTTGACGACCTGCAGTGGTGTCTGGCGGTCTTACCAACAAAAGTTTTAAATACAGTAAACTACGGTTATTAACGAACTCAAAGGGACCACAAATTTTAATTCGTTATAACCGTAGTTCGTTATAAGCAAATGTACGGAATATACACAGCAAATGGACAGGACCAGAAAAATAGTTCGTTATATCCGTTAGTTCGTTATAAACATAGTTCACTGTATCAAACTGGAAACATTTTTCGGAATACTTCCAACTTCCTCAGTGTAATGATGGATATCCCGAAATAACAGCGCATGAGAGTCGGATTAGGTGATGTTATATGTGATTTCGTATATAGGGATGAATATGTGTCTCACCACTTTGACACCAAGTGCATTACTAAATCAGTCTCTGACCACCTCACGTACGACCTGGTTGGCTGTTTTGAATTATTCTGTTGACGCGACACATGTCCACTATATAGCTCCCAGTAAGCAGTTGTCACAGAGATCACAGTAATTTCAATTCATTAAAATCTCACCTGCATGAGCCACCTGAAGCATGTGGAAGACACAGGTAATAGTACTCCAGTAGTTCATGGTCGCAGTGAGAGCATATCAGTCCTCAATATTTAGGCCGTCTACAAGAAAGTGGAATATGGACATCCTGTTAGTCCTTGTTCAAAAATATCTGTCATGCGGCCGTCACAAAAATCAGCTGCAAATCGGCCCAATCTCAGTGTCTACAGTGTATACCTAGTCAGCATACAGTATCAACATAATTGTTATAATAAGCGTAAGAAAATGTGTCATAAAGACATCCGAATATGACTCGTATATATGCACTACACCTGTCGTAAAAAGACACGTCGCCTTAACCTCGTGGGTGTCACGCGTAGGATAGATGGGGACTGGATGGCCACAATGTATGATATGGTCAAAAGGATGCTGAGATGTGAAGGGTGTCCCGGGACAGTATACATCCAAAGCGTCCAATATTTGTAGGATAAGGACTTGCACAAATCGATCTTAGCACTAAGCTGATAGTAACTCCCATACTTTAACATAAGCTTACAATAGTCGTAACGCTAAGATAACTTTGTGCAAGTGGGCGCATCGCGTGTCATCGTTCCCCGACGTCGTTGATCGATGCATGTGCGTAAGACGCAGGTTGCCAGGCCGCCGTGATATAGCTGGTGTAAAACAACATTCACGCTCTCGTGGTTAAGGTTGGTAAAATGAATGACGCCATCTTAACGACCCCCTTAGCTACGTGAAACCTGTTAAATTGTACTTGGCGTTGTTTTATGTCTTATCATGATTCAATTCCCCAGTAAGCGATACTTACCGACAAACATCTATGATGTACCCCCTCCCGCCAGCTACACAGACAAAAGTATTGCAACAGCAACAAAACAAATCAGCGAAACAAAGTCAAACTGGTGGTACCGTGCGTTTGTCGATTACTTGGTCCAACCTCAAACTTGATGTGCAAAGCAATGTCTCGAATATATAAATTCAATTCAGGGGACGCGCGCATGTTTTCAGTATGGCTCATTTTGGAAGTCGCCCAGGTATCTGAAGCGCCGAATATCGCTGTGCTGATTGTCGTCCCTCATGCGTGCCATGATCCCATGATCGTGGCTAGGAATTCCAATTCGCCTTGGTAATAATCTTTTGATCCAATGAACTAAAAGTCTGAGGCCTTCATGTCTTTAGATTTTAGATTTCCTGATCACCCTCCTGAAATGTTATACCCCCATCACACCAAACTAGTTCTCAATACGTTCGTGAAAATGTCGTCGAACGGGCCCCAACTGTGTATGAACGTAGTGGACGTAGTAGCAACTATTGACAGTCTTTTTACGAACCTCATGGACGGGCTCGGACGGGGAGGATGCTCTAGAACTTTAAGTCTGCTCAAAATTTAGTCGGATTGACAACGAACTTAAAACGAGAAAGACGTATTACGAACGGAATTGCCGTACTTCGAACCTACTAGGGACGTGGTGCAGTCGGACATAAATTTCAGAACGTGTGCACACCGACCGGGTTGACTTCTCTTTGGAGGCATGATGTGTACAGCTCGGAGCCTTGGACTTGAATGAAGACTGGCTACAACGCGCTCGGTATCCATAGGTGTCGGTACAGGACGGGCCAGGACGCGAATACACACACACTTCGGACGAGATGAAGACGTACTGCGAACTAGTTCGTCGGGTTTAGAATTAGTTAGAACTGGCTTGGACGTATTGTGAACGAGGTAGACCGAGGTTGAACTGGTTAAGAACGGGTTGAGAACGGTTACGGACGTGCTCGAACTGCTTCGAAACGTTGTCGGGATGAGGTGAACGGGCACTTTTACACGATCTGAACTGGATACAAACGGACCGCAGACTGGCTAAGAACGAGATAAGAACGAGATAGACGTATTGAGGACTCCTTATGAATGAATTAGCATCGTATTTTACGCCAAACTACGCGTTCTACCGTGATCACAACCCGTTCTATTATTTTGTTTAAAACGGGGTAGAACGGGATAGAATTACTTTGCTGTGATGGTAGCATTACCTGTACCTTAACACCCAGAGCGTTCCGCTCTACCGTACACACAGACGAAGTTGCATAAGAAGCGTGACCAAATAATTCTATGCAGATATACAGCAAGAAGTATACGTTTGCGACTAATGTCAAACCAAACAGCACGTCAGAAACTTTTGAGAGCAAGGGTTATTATATATAATGGCGAATCTGGGATCGTAAACTAAACTGTCACAGTGTTAACAGTGAAGCCATATACCTGATTTCCAGACAAACGCAATTATCCTTACCTGTATTAACCGATTGAAGGGTGAAACATAAAACTGTGATATATTTCAAACATCTCAAACACGTAGACATTGTGTTGACATACAACTTGCCATGGTGCGGTCGTCTACAAGAAAGTAAAATTAAAGCACGAGGCACGGGTGTCCAAATTCACACTCGCGTTCGTGACCGAGGTATGTGAACACAATCTTTTGTGCAAACTCTCATATCTCCTTACTCTGTTGGTAAACGTTCTCTGTGGTTCAGATCAGCACAAAGTGTCATGTAAAGCTCTGATCTGCTGTGCAGTTGAAAAAGTCAAGGCTATATAAGATAAACGTCATGGAGAGATGTAGAAAGGCTTTTAAATGACATTCACAAGAATAAGTGACGCATGAAATTAAAAGCAGGACGTTATTTCTTATTTGTTTACATCGAAGGGCCATGCTATACAATCATGTATACACTTGGATCATACCGACTTTCATTCTCACGAATGTCTTACCTACTTCCCGAAGAATGCAACCCGAAATGACAATAAAACAATCAATAATTTATGAGTGAGTGCCTTAACGCTGCTTTTAGCAATATTCCAGCAATATCGCGACGGGGGACACCATTGTACCCATGTGGGGTATGAAACCGGCGTTTCGGCGTGACGAGCCGACGCTTTAACCACTAGGCTACCCCACCAACCCCAATAATTCATGTTTGTAATGCAAGCATTTTAGACGGTATACAAGGAAGTAACATATTGTGCCGTGCTATGTTAGTGGTAATACACATCCTTGTTTAACACTGTCGCCCCGTTGATTGCACATGAGACGGGAAAACCCACACTGAAGCGGGTGGACAACACAGTGTAACTTCAACGCTCTGTTTACTTGAAACGTTGCAAACGTCGTATTATACTGTACACAAACATTTATCCTTTAAAAATGCAGTCGGATCACTTTAGCATACAATTGTTGGCGGGTAGGCACTAATTTACCTGGATGAGACACAAATAGCATCTATAACATTCAGTGTTGAGTATCTCGCGACACTCTACCCGTGACTTTACCTGTTTGTTTACCAGGCCATAGAAAACGTGCACAGGGTTTTGCGATGTTGGATGTTGACCTACCCTACTGTAAGCACCGCCATGATATGTGCCCTTCACGTAATCATCAATAGTATAGATTTCGAATGTCCTGTTTGTCCATGGTCACACTGTATTTCGCTTGGTTATTTCCAGTATTAACGTGTAGTTATGCTTACCTGTATGAACTGTATGCAGAATGGAGAACAAACTGGCGATCAAACTCCACAAGTCCATTTTAATTTGTAGTGCGAGCATGTCAGTCTTCCACGTTCAGGTTATCAACCAGGAAGTAACTTCAGGACCCTGCGTGGTTGTACATCGTAAATCTATACGCACGGGGCTTGGCTAACACACAATAGACTGGAGAAAACTGTACCAAACAGGTGAAATGGTGATCTATACATAACCTTTCTCAGTCAGCATTCTCACCTCATTGATTTCTTCATGCAATTTTTACTCCATATACTCATTGTCACTTCTTCCCGTGATTTGTATTGTACTTGTGTATAGACCGCCTCCGTGGTCTAGTGGTAGAGCGTCCGCCCGGAGAGCGGAAGGTCCGGGGTTCGATTCCCGTCCGCGTCATACCAAAAGACGTTAAAAGGTGGTACTTGTTGTTACCCTGTCTGGCGCTGGGTTTTAATAGGCTGAAACAAGGACTGGTCGGCTCGGAGTCAGTATACTGTGTCTGAGTGGGGTATTCATGTTAAACTGCAGCATGGTATCTCAGTGAGCTAGCACTATAAATCGGCATCAGTCCGGACTAGTAAAAGCAGGCACACAAACACACACACGTACACACGTGCAACAATCTTGGACGCGACGTTAAACCCCATTTCACCTCATCTCATTTTTATAATATGAAAAGAACCCCTCTCTCAATATCGACGTTGAAGAAGAGGGTATGCCTTATGTGCAATACAGGCCTGCAATTTCAAAGCTCCTTGAACATATGAAACAACAGCAAATGGATCTTCTTCGTCTATAGACCGCCTCCGTGGTCTAGTGGTAGAGCGCCCGCCCGGAGAGCGATAGGTTCGGGGTTCGCGTCTTACCAAATGACGTTTAAAGATGGTACTTGTTGTTACTTTTTCTGGCGCTCTGCCTCAAAGGGCTAAAACAAGGCGACTTCAGTCCGGACTAGTACAGGCACACACACACACACACACACACACACACACACACACACACACACACACACACACACACACACACACACACACACACACACACACACACGTCGCTACATAAGTGCAAAACAGTGGACAAATGCATTGTCCAATCAAAATCGCGTATCAAAATCGACATCCGATTCGTAAAACTGCAGATTTCGGGCGATTGCAGGATTCCAAAGCATGTGTACCGCCAACCCGCCAACGTGAAACGTTTTTTTTTTCCAAATCTTTTCATGATTTTAATCAAGATGCTCATGTGATTTGAGGCACTTCGCGAAGTAAGACCCGTTTTATCACAACAAAGATTTTGATAATAATCAATAAGATCGTATTGATTGGGCGCCGACATTTTGTTTGTAGCAAATGCAAGTGATATGAGGTGGAATCTGATTGGTCAATAGAGGGGTTATAGAAGGGACATAGAAAGGACATAACTCATAATTGCCACTGGTGGCGCTACGGTCGAGCCCAGAAATTCCAGCCCAGTTCGAGAAAGGTGGAATATTGCCCCGGGAAGATGGCATTTTGTATGTGCATCAGCAGTTCTCCAAATCCAGAGTTGTCTCCGATATGCATTCTTCTTGCTCACACGCTGTTAAAAGTTCTCCTGCTCTGCTGTCGTTGTCTCAGACTGTATGTGGCCTTGATTCCACTGCAAAGCCATTGAAACCAAACTTACATTAGTTATGAATCAGAATAGGTTTTAATCATTTCGCTGTGTTGATCTTTGCTCGTATGGATCACTGATATAAAATGCAGTCCATTGTATAATCTTGTCGAAATAATTGAATTAGTTTTAAAAAAAGGCAATAATGTCATCCTCGGACACACATTTGGCTGACATTATATCTACGTCAAATATGAGCATAACCTGCATCAGTTCCACAAAGCGATCTTAGCGATAAGGTGATCGTCCTAGCCCCAAAATCGCTTTGTGGAAAGGGGCGCATGTCTGTGGAGTCATATATGAATCAAGAGATGGCGTCTCCATTTGAGTTTTGAACGTATAACCCGTGTGTCATGTTTTGAGAAACTTTATAACAGTTTGCTTCAACCAATGTTCAACCACCAATTGTTGCTTTTATTATTGAATCACTTAAGCACCAGACTTATGTTTCTTACCTGCTTAATTAAAAATCAACTGGACATTATTACTTGACCTAAAGCAGTTAGAACATACAAGGGACCTTGCAGTTGTGATGTAATAATAATAATAATAATAATAATAATAATAATAATAATAATAAAAAATAATAATATTAATAATAATAATAATAATAATAATAATAAATAATAATAATAATTTTTATTATCATAAGCTCTATCTTATTTGTAAAATTGTTTCGGACCTACTTTCCTTTATCCCCGTGACATACTCATTAAAGGGTACCTGCATTTTCCTTAGAATGTTGACAAAGATGGATCGTGTCCGACTGGCCCTGTGACTGGACCAAAACACTCTATGTAAAGTGTGAACATCGAGCAACTGCATTTCACCGTTTGCAAGCACCGTTATAACAATTATGTCTAGATCTGTAGTCAAATTATAACACAATGCCATGTATCAGTTCTGCAAACATTTCTCGTAAAAAGTAGTTATGAAAGTTTCAAATTTAAGAACAACCACTCACAATACTGACTATCCTGTAGTGGGGTGTGTTCCGGAGCTGTGCTTCAGGGACCAAGGTGTCATCAAACAAGAATAAAGTAATCATGAAAACGTGGTAATAGATTCACATGTTTATTACTATAAGCAAATCAATACTCGACAATCAAACAGATCAAACATTGATCACTGATTAATAAAATCAGAGTAAACACGCAAGCTGATTAACTAAGCAACTGTATAAAAGTGATAAAAAGAGAACACAAGATAATGAAAAGATGCAAAGACAGCCAATTAAGTCGGCTGCGACCAATCAACACCCGAGAGTTAATTAACCCAACATTCTAATGAGTAAATAACCTCGACAGTATTAAATAGTGGGAAATAAACAGAGGGCTGATCCCTAAAACAAGTCTCTTTGACAATGAAATAAACAATGTCGCCTGAATATCCAAATAGTCTTACAGACTAAAGAATCAACCACTTTGACTTGGAATGAAAATTCTTAATTTCCCAGATATATAATGGACTTGACCTAAGCTAGGCAATCATGGAAAAGTTGGTTATATACGAATACTACAAAAACGGAGTATGGAAACCCTAGCTAGTAATAACTAGAGTAACTCAGTAAGTCATTAATAGATAAAGCCTGTCCCGTAATTATTAACGAACGAAACCTTTGCACTGACCACCCAGTAGCATGACGACGCGTTCACGGTCAAGCGTCCCTGCTGCTGCTAATGCTGTTGGAAAAATAAAGAGCGCTTCTGGAAGTTCCGATTTCGCTGCTAATAAGGACACATGACTTTGGCAAGGGTTTCGTCAGCGATGGGAAAAGCATTAGCCTGGTGGTCTTAACAAAGGGTGTTTCTCGACGTAGGCAAAAACCCGAATAGAAAACTAACAACTAAACCAATACGAAAGATGTAAGTTCCAAAATAAAGCGCTGAACATAAGCTATCCAACGGTACTACTGAAGATTTATAACCAGATACGTAATATTGAGGTGGCAAAATGACCATGAATACATGAGTATGTGAGTATGTTTTTTTTACGCCGCTTATAGTAATATTCCAGCAATATCACGGCGGGGGACATCAGAAATGTGCTTCACACATTGTACCCATGTGGGAAATCACACCCGGATCGTGGGCGTCACGAGCGAACGCTTTATCCACTAGGCTACCCGATCGCCATACATGAGAAAAATCTACAAATACTAGATAATAGTGCTAATTCGTGAAAATCAAAGTTACAAAAACACTTTCAATGCATAAATAAGGTAGTAAACATATATGAAATAACATATATCAAATCAATACATGATAAACGTTTGCGTTTCTACAGCCAGAGATCTAGAGTAATATCTGCGGACCACCAATTCTTAATCAATGTACGTTAAGATACTGGATTACGGCGTCCGTCGGACTTTGCCGAATGGTGACCGACGTCGGGCGACTAAGAGCGAGGGAAACGGTGCGGTCTCCAGACCGTGCGTCTAGACCGGACATGTGAGATCTGTGTACGCCATTTTGAATCGCGTGTCTAAGGTACCATTTCCATAACCTGCAGTGTACCCGCCAGAAAACAATATCCACCGTGCATCTTTACGAACCTAAGTGATGTAAACCTTCGCCGTATTCACTGAATAACTGCCGACAATCAGTAACATACTAGTAAGAGAAAGTGACGTAAGTTTTTGTCACTCATCGAAAGGCTAGTCACGTCCGATATGAATCAGAAACACCAAATCACCACATATTATAACATCTTCTTTCGATGATTGATGTCTGCGAAAACAACAGTACTTCGAGCCTAATAAACTATTCATACTCAGACATTGCTTGTGGAATATACATTGCAAAGTGCGTAATGGGTTTCCAAAGCGTTTCAATAATAATAATAATAATAATGCTCATACTATTTGAGGGTGAAGGGTATCCAGGTTGTTTAGACTAGATACGCTATTGTTGGTGCAATGAGTAGATAAGCCCATGTATTATCTTTGGTCATGCTCTTGGGTATACGGACCGCCTCCGTGGTCTAGTGGTAGAGCGTCCGCCCGGAGAACGGAAGTTCCGGGGTTCGATCCCCGACCGCGTCATACCAAAATACGTTAAAAGATGGTACTTGTTGTTACCCTGTCTGGCGCTCGGCATTAAGGGGCTAAAACAAGGACTGGTCGGCTCGGAGTCAGTATACTGTGTCTGAGTGGGGTACTCATGTTAAACTTCGGCATGGTATCTCAGTGAGCTAGCACTATAAATCGGCATCAGTCCGACTAGTACAAGCAGGCACACACACACATACACGTACATGCACGTCGCTATATAAGTGCGATAATCTTGGACGCGACGTTAAACCCCATTTCACCTCACATCTTGGGTATACGAGATTAGTGACTCTGTACTGTCTTCCAACAGCAAACTGGCACACCGTCTGGTAACCCCAATACCGTGTACACCGGTCTGATGCCAGCTATATGTAACATGTAACTGACTAAAAATTAGTTGATTAAACGTAAAAAAATAATCAGCGCATGTATATTCCAAAGTATGATTAAAAATAAGTGTTTTAAGCAATATGATTCAACATGCCTTTTCTTGCAATGTACTACAGTAAACTACGTTTTATAACGAACACGCTTACAACGAACTGACGGTTAAAAAGCATATAAATAACATATTTTTTGGTCCCGACAATTTGCTGTTCAAA